GCCTGGCGCGATATGGTCCATGGGGTCATGAAGAGTCGGACACGACTTAACGACTGAACAACAAAAAGTATCACCTGTACACATATCTATCTACCTATCACCCTATTCCCTTTTGGAATAAGTAACATTATGCAAAGTATGGAAAGGTATAAGAAAAATAATAAGCCAAGATGGATTGTTACACCCTAATATTAATAGTGTTGGTATAAACCTATTATTATTAGCCTGAATCAATCCATCCTGTCTTTCCCCCCCAAAAAGGGGGCAGAAGCAGAGTCTCCCACACGGCCATTTTTGCTTCTCTAGACAAACATTTCTTGCTTTGGCACATATTACTCATTATTACTATACCAACATCTGCATATCTTCAAATTTCTCCATTTCCCCATCTTTAGTGAACATTCTACCAACCTAAACAAACTCATCCATTTCCTTTAGCTTTTTTGCCATTTATGTATAACTTGCATTAGATCACTTTGTCTTCCTTGTTAAACACAATTGCCATAGGCCTTGATACATAATTATCATATCTGTATTCCTTATTGCATCATTCAATGTAGCCAATATTCATTGCAAATCATGCAGGTTCTCAGGAAATAGGGCAGCATCGTCTGCATGCAAACATAATGCATCCTCAACAGCACACCTCTAATGTCGCCTTCTTACAGATTTATTCATACGTACATGAAAACTAAGACACATCACACATCCTTGTCTGATTCCATACTCAATGCTGAATCATTTGCTAAGCATTCTACTTATTTTCATCCATGTTTTAGTTCCATTATATATTGCTCTTTATCACATTCAGCAAGCAAACTTCAACTCATTTTCACAAATCATTCCACGTTTCAAGCCTTTTCGTTTTATCATAAATTTTCTTTAAAAGTCAGCAAACATACAGTAAACTTTCTTTCTCACCCTCGTACATAAAAACCTCTTCTGCACACATTCTATTCAACATAAAGCCACAGTGCACCAGCCACAATTTTGCTAATTGTCACCTCTTATCACCTTTTGATAAAAATTTGGCTAAACATCTTCCTAGGGAAACATCAAACCAATGCCCTTGTAGTTTTTGAATTCACTCTTTACCTTTTCCTTCGTATAGGAGAATAATTATTGTCAGGCACAAAGGCATACAAATGTTTAACGAACAGCACAGCCACTCCATAAGCAAACAATTTTTATCCAGTTACACCATCTACTTCTGTGGTCTTACAATATTTCAACATTCTCACAGCATTTATAGTTTTGTTTTCATACAATTTTTGGTTGGTTACCTGTACATAGTCCATAAAACAGAATATTGTGTAGAATACCATAAAATCTTGCAGGACATGTGTACAAGGAGACAGGCACCCCGCTCAAAAATACATCTGTGAGTGAATTTGCCAAATGTTAATCTTTACCTCGGTTATCAGGAACTTTGGTGTCTAGCTGTTTCATGGAACAGACACTGTAACAATGGTCAGAAAATATGCCACTATTATCTATGTATTTTGGAATTCCTGAAGAATCTAGATAGAAAAAAAGAAAAGCATGAACTTAAATATTTGATGGAAGAGATTTTTTTGACATCTGTATCAAAGCTTTCAACTTTCCTTTTGCTAAATTCTCTGATGTTACAGAGAATATAGTGCAATCCTTAATAGGTTTCTTTAAAAGTAAGTTCAACTGGCTTTAGTGAGATTACTCCCAGTAAGTGTTACACAATTGCAGACCAAGAAAGGAATACATAAATGCATAAAAATAAGATGGTGGTCTATGACTCTAATAAACTTCAACTAACATAAAAACTGGTAGGTTGCCTGTTACAGATATGAAGAAGGAAAGGTTCTAACTCCTTCTCTTCTCTTGCTCCACTCTACCAAATAATATTACATTTTTGGAAGAAACAGAAGGCAATAAACAATGCTTAGTATAGGAGTTTCTAATTTCTTGTGAAGCTGAATACAAAACAAACATGGTATCTGTGCCCCAGTATATAAAATTATGACTTTGAACCCACAATTATGCTTCTCATTCAGATCAAACCCTTAACTCTCTTCCTGTCTCTCACTTACCCCTCCAGTTCAAAAATTCAACTTTTCTGACTACTCATTCCTTCTTCTGAATCACAGCTTAATCTCTCTCAAACATACATTACCCAAAATGCCAGCTCTTTGAGGTAGACCAGGTAAGAACACAGACAGCATAAGTAATACCAGAACTCTATTTTTATTGATATAGGCTAAAACAACAGACTCTTGAAAGCCTAAAAGTTTCTTTCCCTCCTTCTTATACCCAAGAGAATCAAGGTGGGCCAATCATGAGTTTCTTCCTCACCCCCTCCTGTCTTTCCAGACTGCATACTTTCTTCAATGCTACCTCTGTATGCCTCTGCCCAAAGCACATGCAGACATCTTCCTAGCTTTCTCCTGTCTGCCTCTTTAACTAATCTCCTTGTTCCCACCAGTCCTTCCCACTAGTCTCAGATTCCTTGCCTTTTCCTCTTTGCCAGGTTCTCACCCAACTTCCCTCTCGGTTTCCTCCTGCTTCAGAAGATCACTTCCAGTCCTTTACCTATTCTTCTGCTACAATCTCCAAATTTGACAGCCCTTTATAAGGTAGTGGCTTGTCCTTTGTTTCACTTTCTTTTTCTTGGGTAAGCCAAAGCATTCATCTATGGCTCCCCCCCCCACCTTTCATTCAAGCAAAGAAAGATAGCTGATCTCAGGCCACTTTGAAGTACTCACTGATTTTTTTTTTTAATTGATAGGACACAGGGACAGATAGCCAGAGGGCACCACTATCCCCCAAAATAACTATTTTTCTCTGGAAACAATTCTGTCAGAACTGAACTATTCTGTTTGCCTCCCTGCACATTTTTTATAATGATGGGAGAATTGGTGCTGTGTGGAAACGTGTTAGACTGTTTGCTGTTGTGTGCTTTATTTTTCCTTTTTCTGAATCACACTGTATAATAAAAAACATAAACTACAGGGATGGCAACTTACAAGTAATTAATATAGGAGTTGGGTTAAATTTACAGATTGGACTAGGTGATCTCCAAGGTGCCTTCAACCCTTACATTCTATGATACACAAATCAACACTTCTACCGAAATCAGTAACTTTGCCCTCTACTCACATTCAAAAGAAAATGTAATTTACTGTAACTGAAACGGGCAAACATACCTGTATGTGATTTACCTGAATAGCGTGAGGGATGTAGAGTCTTCCTTTTCCTTTTCTTTGGATGCTCATTCATTTTGCTTTAGTCTGAAATGACTGCAGGCAGCAATCAAAGCCAAATATATCTGTTAATGCACTACTGGTTAATTTGCAGTTACAAAGAGTAAGAGAAACATAGATGGGATTCTTCAAAAGAGAAACATAAACCTACCCCTGCCAATAATCAACACAATCAGCCTATACCCCAGTTCACGCACGAAGTGCATCTTCAGGCAGGTTCAGTTAGAATGTAGACTAGGATCTCCAAGTATAATCTTCCCTAATTTGGTGCACCAAAAATACAGATCTGCTGGGAATTCTGGAAGTTGCAGTGCCAATAGATCTCTGGGTAATTTTCAGGAGATTGTCTAAGAAGTCTAGCTACCAATTATTTAATAGCAGCAACAGCAACAAGAAAAGATGCCTAGAGTTTGAGCTGATTCCTGGTGACTATATGGACACATCCATGCAGTTTTCTTGGCAACAGTACAGAAGTGATTTGCCATTGCCTTCTGGATGTCTTTCAGAAGTTTCCTAGTCTAGCTCTGAAATGCCCTGGTCTCCTATCCAATTACCAAGCACACCTTACCATGCTTGGTTTCTGAGTTGAGACAGCAACAGACTATCCTAGCCCTAAGTTATGCTGCTGAATAGGGGCATCCGGGTACATGTAAAGAGGAGTTGGGGTTTTGATCACACGGTTGTGGTCACCATCTTGATTTTTCTGGCAACCTCCAGATGCCCCTGCTGCTGAAAAAGCTATTCAACCATATTTTCAAGTTTTACTGACATTCCAATTTAGATACAAGGATGTTCTCTGTACTTTGGTTCCTTGTCTGTCAGGGCAGCCACTGAATGATTATTTCAGTGATGGAAGATGTATCACTTTAGATTGGCTTATGCTCACACATAAGACAGATTTATTTCTTATTTAATAAATGATTTACAATCATTTTTTTAGGATGTGAATTGTGTGTTATATGTAGATGCCCAAAGGCCTGAGGCATTAGAAATGTCATCCAATAATTTCTGGAATAAAAGAAGTCCACAAATCCATTTGAGTTTAATATTACCACCTAGCCACAGGAGCCTCAGGTCAGAAATGTTCTTGCTAATTAGAACACCAGTTAAAGATTTCACAATAAAATAACCTTTCTCTCTCTATAGCTGAGGTAAACCCAAAACTATGATGAAAAAGAGATACAACCATATTTGCTCAGGGTGAGTCGTATCTGTCAATTTCAATGCATAATGCACAAGTGATGTCCTGGTATAGCAGAACCCAGACAGACAGTTCTCAATTCCAACCAGGCAATTTATTTTAGTACTGTGTATTACTTATAAAATAAATTGTTCTCGACTTGATATCAATTGTAAACAAAAGCTGCCCCCTTCTATTGCAAATCCTGTAAATTCAGTGAACATGCTGAGAATGTTCAGACATCCCAAGTCATTTTTACAGGACTCTAATTCCTGGAGATCTCTAAAGAAAGTGAGAGATTATTAAATCTGTTTAAATGTGGCTTGAGGCTGAAAATGAGGCTTAGAAAACTGCAGCCTCAAGCATGCACCTGGGAAAAGCATGATCAGTAATAAATAATCCATTTTGCGCATCTAAGTTAGTAATAGGCACTACTTAGAGATGTGAGCATGAAGGATTATGAAGTGATTTCCCCATATTTTTCTTTAAATGTGTAATGTACTTATAGCAACACTTCAAAATGTTAAATGAAAGAGAACACTGTATTATGCTACCATTTCCAACACTGAATGGGAGCACACATGTGATGGTATTTTATCTACAGGTTGAATCCAAAACCCAGCAGGAACCAAAAGTAGATCTCTGTCTTGGTCCTCTAGTGTTGAAGGAACCCCTTTTTCAGGGGCTTTAGACTACTGACAAGCTTTGATACCTAGCTGAAATTTGTCATTGTCACCAATACAACTCCCTGCCCTGAGGACTGAACAATAAAGCTTTCATTGTGATGTAAAGTAAGCTCTGCAGTTCAGGGGCCAATGGGAAGAAAGGGTGACACTTTTTCTAAAGTTGGAGGGAGTGTATTGTAGATTTTTGTTACTTCTGTGGAGGTTTACCAAAATGTAAGCATCTTCTCTAAGCTTTATACAACTTTTGGCTTCCAGTGGTTTTTAAAGATCTCACATTTTTTTCTCCTCTTCTATGTTCAAAAATATTATTGTACCAAGAATGACATGACCAGAAAGAAAATTTGTCTGAGCATTTCCCCTTTCGACTAACTATAACAAATGTTAATAATATGTATTTTTCAGATTGGATTTTAAATTAACCATTTGTATCTCCAGATCTGTAAAATGAAAATTTGAAAGAATCCTTCAACTTCTTAAATAGGATTTTTTAGTATTAGAAAAAGAAATAACACCTGGAGAATTGAAAATTACAAATTCTACTGAAGGAAAAATAAAACAATTAGGATGCTGTTTAATTCATAATGGAATATATTATGCAATTCCAATGTTTGTATGAACATGGACAAATGATCCTTTTTAATCTTCAGTTTGTAAATTGTGTGTAGTTTTGTAGGTATGGAGATCTGGTGACACAGACTTCATACAATGGGGGTCCCCAATTTGGTGCTCACAGACCCGTGCCTTTGAGCCTCCAAACTAATTTGACTTTTTGATTTGTGATTGGCATGCTACTATGGCAGCCATTTTTTAAATGGACCTCATGCCCCTCAACATAAACATAAGCTAGAGAAGTGTTTATCTCTTACTAAATTCAAACTACAGATTTACAGATACACACACAGACACATTTCCTGAGAAACTGAATTTATCTGAAGAAATATTAAAGGGTTTCTAATTCTTGTTTCACAAAATAGAAGTGCTCCCATGACACTGAAGACCTCCCCTATGGGAGGAAATTTACTAGAAAGAACAACCTGAACCATGGCAGAGTACAAGGCAATCTTCATAAAGACCAAGGATAGTCTATATGCAGGCAGAAGTCTTTCAAATGGAGAATTATGCTCAGTTAAGTAGCTGTTATAGTTTAAGGGCTATGAGAATGGACTGAAAATCACAAAGCCCTTGAGTTTTGTACCTTGCCCTGCCATTTAGCTCACCAGGAGGCAAACCCCTTTTCTGTAATGAAGTTTTATGTACAATGAAACTGGGAGAAGTGTTAAATAGGGTAAGAGGGGATTGGTGCCCTCAAGAACCTTTGAACTACATTCTGTTATGTAGCTGGGGTTTGGAAGAGCTGCAGTCCATAATACTAACAAATTGTTTATGCATGTGTTAAGTATTCAAGATATGGCAAAAAAATAATGTCTGATCATTCAGAGCACAAAGCTTTTCTCACTTTCAGATCCTGCCTGCTGAGTTTCCAAATTATCTTCTCAACTGCACATTAAATTTTTTAGACCCTGGATGCTGATCTCTTTCTTGGTAACAAAGAGAGAACTCTTGCAAAGGAAAGAGAGCACAGACATACAGCACTCAAGTATGCATCTCTGCTTCCAAGTGAATAACCTTTAGCTGAGTTCAAAAATTTCTGCACTTGCCAAAAGCAATTCCCACCACTGTAGTATCTCAGAAATTACTCTGGTCCGTCAAAGATCATTAACTTGGGTTGAATTATATATGAGGCTATATGGGTCAATTGGAAATCAGACAGGAAGCCTGTATCTAAAAATACCCAAAAGTCATGTTGCACAAACCTGTATATGGTCCCAGGAACATAAAGACCTTTATGTCAATATATGAGAAAGAATGTGCAGGGATACACCATCTGACCTGTATATGACTCAGGAGCATTGTATAAAAATGGTGCAGGTGAGATGCACTTTACATAAAATAGAAAGAAAGAAACATCACAATAAATGCTCTCCAAAGAGGTTGAGTAGGATTTTGGTTGATTTCCATCTAATGGGACCTAGGAAGCATGTCTTTTCCACATCAGCCCCTCCTGTGGAACACCCTTCCCCTTGAGATCCAGCAGGCTCTCATCCCCTTAACCTTCTGGAAAGCTGTAAAGAGCTGGCTTTTCCCTCAAGTGTTGGTATGGTAAGGTCAGAGCCCTGGGATTGCATAGATGAATGGATGTAGATGATGGATTGAGTACCTGTTTTTTCTTGATTTTTTGTTTTATTGTTTGTGATTTTATCACTGTTGTTAGCTGCTCAGACTTGTGGGTACTACAAGATGGGCAGCCATATAAATCTTTTAAGTAAAATAAATAAATACTGCATAAATAAATTGTGTGCCTTGATTCATAATCCAATCTCCTCTGTCAAAAATTCTCAGGTAGAAGAGAAGGATGGAGTTATTTTAGAGTAGAGGAAGAAATCAACCTTCCCTATCAATACACTCATGTCTGATTTACATAGTGGCTGGGTTCACCCAACATGCTTCAACAGGTTACATTTTTTCTGGGTTCCCACAATAAATGAATCAAAAACAGGCCTGGCTTTACATTGCATACTAAATCAATACCCCCCACCCTGCAATAAAACTAAGTTTACCTTGGTATTCACATGCAACCACAGTCTTTAACCGATTTATGGACTGCATGAAACCAGCCATGCAGAATTTAGGGAAGTAGAGGTATTCTTTATCTGGTTCTAAGTGGAGAACAGATTTCAAATGTTTCTTCAAATAAAACCTTTGCAGTGAGGGTAAAAAAAAAAAAAAAAGTTCCAGTCTATCATTCTAGGCTTCACTAATTTCCTACTTGCAAAGATTTAATGTAAGTGTTAAAAAGATGGCTCCTTCAAATGAGGAAAGTTTGAACTGGTACCATGCATGTTTACAATATCAAGACTCTAGCATCTCATTCTGGTGAGGTGTACCATATTTATACAAGACAAAGAAAAAGAGATAGTGAAAGAGGCACCAATTTTTATGGACTGATTCCACAGAGAGAAATATGAGGGATCTAACGATCAGCAGAAATTTCTTTTAAGGGCATTTCGATTTGGGAGAAGCACAAGAAGGGAAAGCAGTGAAACTACTCCCGTTTTATTTTTTTTTAAAAAACCCTTATTTTAAGCATGCTTATGTTATCATTAAAAAAAATAACTGGCAGAAATGGTACAGATGTCCCAACCTTTGCAGAGAAGGAGATGATGCAAAGCAGATCACACACCATATCCTTATTATGGGAAAGATCAATACTCCCCCGCTTTTTAAAATCTTCTACAAACCCAGCCCCCTCCATCGACTCTCCCGCTCCAAGGCCCCCCCGAACCCCCCATTCCAGCCAGGCTGGTTTCAGCTCGGACTGCGTTGCATCTTGGATCTGCGATCCTTTATAGGAGTGAGAATTGATCCCCGCGATGGGAACCCGAAGAAGCTTTCCCCAAGGCGACCTGATGCCTGGCGGGCGGGAAGAGGAGGCTTCCCATTGAGTACCATGGGGTTACTCCCGGGTAAAAATGAGAGGGCGGTGCAACGATTCACGCGGTGCTGCTGAACCCTGGAGTGACGAAAGCGAGGAGGAGAATAATTACGATGATCGTGACCGCCACGCAGGGGAGAGGGTTCAACGCCCTTCTGCAGAGCCCAAGGCATGCCCCCAAAGCCCTCCCCGGGAAAGCGGCCGGGGTGTCCGCGGGTGAGCCGGCGCCCCGAGCTCCTGGGAAAGGAAATGAACAGCTCCGCTGCCCCGGCCCTCGGCGCACGCGAGCGCGGGAGACGCGGCGGGACTCACCTCGAGGAGCAGGCCGCAAGCGCCGCCTC